CCAGCTTCTTGACCTCTCATTTGTTTCCTATCTTTAAGGCATTTCAGTTTTCACTAGTAGTATTATCCCCTAAAGACATAAGCAAAGGACAAGGTCAGAGCAGTCAGTTTTATTCCTTATTATTGGCTTTGATAAGAGGCTTTGGGGGAAGAGGTTGAAACTAACAGCTATAATGAAGTTTTGAGTTCTCTAAAGATTTCATTTACCTGTGTTATTGGTCTCCCCATTAAATGCATGTCTGTTCCGTGTACCTTTGCACACGATTTGCATAGCATATAATACCTATTACTGAAACTTTACAGACTTCTTAAATTGTATAGAAAAGGCTGTGAACCCTATTCTTAGAGAACATAAAAATACAGATAACAAAGGTCGTAACTCCAAATATTTAATGATACAGTATTTTGAAAAAAACACAGTAAAACAAAATTAGTTACTAGAGTAGAAAAGATACACTATAATTTTAATATGTATTGATACATGTCTTTTTTGCCCTCCCCCAATTTAGTAAAGATGCACTAGGTATTAAGAAGATTCTTACCATACAGTGTATTTTAATCTAGCATTTTAGAAAACTTTTTACAGATTCATAGATAAACGGCATGTCAGAATGTGACTTTTTATTTTCAGATGTTGTGAACTGGAGTTCTGCATGACTTTTATGGAAATGACTATACTTTTAAAATATAAAACTTAAACAAACCCAAAGCTCTGAAACCTTTTCTTGGTAGTCATCGTGCCGCCTCCTGTGATTCTGAAGAATATGTTAACTAGTTTCAGATGTGTTTTGTTTGCTGACTCAAAGTCAGCCTTTTATTTTAAGAAAAGAAATTGTGTAATTAGTACTTAATTGCTTTGGATATTTTGGGTATTTGGAGAAGAGGGTAATTCAAAGGCCAGAGAAATTAAACTTTCAGAATGTTCTTTATGCCTGTGTAATTTCTTTTTTAAAAATGCCCTCTAAAAACAGCCTTAATAACTTCAAAATAAATGAAGACCAGGATTGTTTTTAAAAATTAACATCATTTTTGGATGTGGTTTTATTGGTTTATTTAAGATAAATTGGAGAGAGGACCATTGACGTGCTAGCAAACAAGATGCTATCTAGTTCATCTCCTTTTCAGGCAGGTGTTAGCTAGATATCTTACAAATGGCAGTCCACCTGTCCTATATTTCAAGATCTTCCAAGAGAAAAATAAATTTTCCCCCACTTTGTAAATATTACATTCGATCAAATTTAAATATTTGCATAATTAAGAATGGCATATGGTCTGCTGGGACCAACTGGAACTTGGTTGACATGGCACTTATCCTGTATCTGAAGTGATTTGAGAGATCTAGGTCTTGATAGGCCATTTAACTTCTCTAGGCCAGTTATATTGTGTATAAATTGGAATGCTGGACTAGTAATCTCTACAATTTTACTAGTTCAGAAATGTTTCCGAGGTACCCATTATCTAAATATCTGTGTTTTGTGAATTTGAAGGTTAACAGATCTGCTTTTAAGTGCTAACATTCCTATATTATTTTTGAAAATGAATACTTCAACTATGACATTAACTTAATGGTTATGAAATACATTGGGTTTTTAAATGTATACCTTAAACCAGAAGACCCTTGCTTTGTATCTGCTATATTCACTGAGTAAGACACATAGGCAGGATTTGAAGATTGGTTTCATATTGATTCCCAACCATTTGGGGAAGGCATACTAAAAGTACTATTTCATATTATTGCCATTACCTTTTTTTCATTCTAATTAATATTATTATTATTTTGTTTTTAATCTTTATCATTTTTTTCGTGAAGAAAACAGCTTATATCACTGTTGAAGAAACAGTGAAACTTGAAGAAACAGTGTATGTTACTTAAACATCTAGTTTCCACTTAGAAAATTCAAAGAATCATAAGTAACTACTTGGCTCAAATATATGCAAAGTATTATAAGAAAAACATAAATTGTAAAACAGACTATAAAAGAGATAAATAATACATATCAACAGATCAGTAGCTAAAGAAAAAAGAGTTGCCCAACAATGGGACCAGGCACAGATGGGTTTTGTGGGGGGAATTCTACTAAAATGTTATGGAGTGGATAGTTCCAGTGTTATTTAAAATAATTGAGGCCAGACATGGTGGTTCACGCCTGTAATCCCAGCAATTTGGGAAGCCAAGGCAGGCGGATCATTTGAGGTCAGAATTTCAAGACCAGCTTGGCCAACTTGGGGAAACCCGGTCTCTACTAAAAATACAAAAATTAGCCATGGATGGTGGTATGCGCCTGTAATCCCAGCTACTTGGGAGGCTGAGGCAGAAGAATTGCTTGAACCCAGGAGATGGAGGTTTCAATGAGCTGAGACCGTGCCACTGCACTCTAGCCTGGGCAACAGAGCGAGACTTCATCTTAAAAAAACTTGACATCAAAGAAGAATTTTCACATCAGTATTAAGGAAAGAGATGCTGTCTTTTTTACAATTACAATTGAGGTGAACCTCAGATGAACATGTAGAACAGACATTGGGGACCAAGGATGAAAGATATCAGTGAGAGTTAATCCCATAAAACCTTGAACTTTGAGCCTATTTGGTGCCTTTGGGCCTTGTTGATATGTAGGGAATTAAATTAAGAAAGAAAATTATTGTCAATCCAGATAGGTTTTGTAAAGGCGTGGATACTGTTAAACATGCACATGTATTTTACTCAATTATCTTTTGGGGACATTAAGTGTTCTGGGGCTTAGAACAGGTGAATAACATCACTCACTCCTAAATGCTGCTTCCTACCGTGGTACCATCATTTCTTCTTAACTTTGCCAAGTTGTTACCTCATTCTTTCTTAGATCTAGGATGAAGGAAGCAAGCCAATGGTTGAAACAGGAGATAGTGCAATGAGAGTTTAGTAAATAAATTAAAGGAAGGAGAAGATGCCCAATACATAGTATTTCAGATGTTTGGGATAACCTCTTTATTCTAAAAAATAGAAGTCAAATATCACTGCTGGTGACACAGACTTCCAAATGCTATCCTTTGGGTACAGTTATTATTGAATCAGCTTCTTGTTGAGAGAGAAAGAGTGAGAGGGAAGGAAAAAGAGAGACAGGGGTGTATGTATGTGAGAGAGAGAAAAACAGAGAATGAGCCAGTTGTAGTTCATTGAAGTTTACCACAAAAAGATGGGAAGGGTCCCCAGCCACACTTTGTGTTTTATGTTCAGGTTTTGGGGTTTGGGATTTTTAATCTTCATATTAAGTCAGCCATGTAGTTTAAATCACAGATATGATGCTAGTAATTTTGGTGCCGTGAACAGGAGTGCAGCATCTGTCTTTTAAAGGGATTTTAATGAGTACATTTGGATTGCTTGGTGACCTTTCCAATTTTGTTTTGTACTGTTATCAAAAACCTAATCATTTTTCTTTCTGAAACAGATTTTAACATCTGCTAAGGTTGATGAAGCTAGGATAGTTTTAATGAAATATTAATCTGTCTTTTTTAATGTCACCATAGCTTTTAAAACTGTTCATCAGCTAACTGAAACATCAGCTCAAGGCACTGGAGTTGATTTTTTAATAAATGCCTTTTCTATTAAATATTCTCATTGTGGTCAGAGTATAGTTAGAGGACAGAAACTTGTCCACTCTTGTTCATCTACAGCCCACTTTCCAAATTCTCTTGTTTTTAAAGTTGTATTATTTTAATTTGTATTTCGTTAACTTGATAGTTAACTTGAGGTTTCTTATATTTTAAGGAGGGGAGATTGGTTTGAATAGTGGCACCAGTCCTTCAAAATCTAGACAGTTTAAGGATATTGACTTTTAACAAGATTTAACTTAAATGTCTACTTTAAATATGTGTCTTGTCATTAAAAGGTTATTTACATTTAAAATGCTGACCTTTCAAGATGTGCACAACAGTGTTCTAAAACAGAGTTTCTGAACATTGGCCATGAAACCACTGTCTTGGGCTGACAAATGGATTGGAAATAAGCTACCCAACACTGGGAATGGGCCATTAATTTTAATCAAAGGTGATGCAGGAAGGCGAATGGGATGCATGACAATGTCAACAGCCCAGTAGGTGTTAAGAGACCACACAGCCTTCCTTGTTACTTGGTTGGGCCATTAGTTGAGGTTGGGTGAAGACATAAAGCCATGTCTGGAATTGAATGACCAGGTCACTCCAAAATCTAATGGAGAACTCCCCATTTCAGAAATCACATTGTAATGCCATTAGAAGTCAAGGACAGCATTTAGAAAATATTGGAGGTTTTTTTTTTTTTTTTTTAAACAAGCACCTTGCTAGTTTTTTCCAACTTTGTCCAGCTTCCTGTTTTCCTGCCTTGTTTCCTTCTGAATAGATCATTGATATTTACAGGAGACCAAGAAATCAAACAGACTTAGAAAAAAAAAAATCTTAAAGCCTGTTTGCTTTTCAGAATTATATATTGTTATAAAACTCAGGTAAATGCCAGAAACAATAGCTATCAAAGGAATTAAGCAGGATAACTCATTCTTTATGATGATCTCATTGTCCTTGTCCCTTTCTGGTGTGTAGGAATAGTTTCTTTCTTAATTTTTTTATTGAAAGCATTTTTCCATAATTGCAAAGGCCACTGTGCTTGTGCCTTTACTATAAAATTGTCAATATTGGCCGATAACATTTGTAATTTTCACAGTGGTGAAAGCCTTTAAAAAAAAAAAATCAGTAAGCATGTTACTTTTTCGGCGTATTTTCAATTACAAAAAAGGTAGTGTATGACACCTTGAATTAGTGATGTTTGTAATAACAAAAATGCAGAAAAAATAAAGATGCATATCTGAAGCATATTTACACTTCAGGGTTGTTAAGGAAGTTCATTTATTCTGACACAGCACTGCATGCATAAGGAAGATATGTATGACTGCGGTAGTAATTTTTATACATAGTTAAGAAATAAAAACAAATATATTCCTGTCTTGTTAATTGAATAGTGTTTTAAGTAAATTGCCTTTGTTCTTCTTGTAGATGAAGATCAGCTCCGTGCAAAGGGTTATGACAAAACACCAGACTTTATTTTACAAGTACCAGTTGGTAAGTTCTTCAACTCTGTTATGTATTTGTTTTTAGAGAAAAGGGGTGTAATTTTTAATTTTTTATGTTAATATCAGCTTTATAATACTGTAAATGGGTGAATAGTTGGCAAATATTTTTAAAAGGCAGAAAATGTTAGGTTCAAAGGAATTCTGTCTTAAAATCTTTTACATATATTGGGAAAACATGTTTTCTAAAGATATTTTGGTTGTCATTTTCAACGTATTTCTCTAAATTTCAGATTCCTTAAACATAGGTCTGTTGAAAAGCCAGACTCATTTTGGTCTGCTTGACATGTCACTTGTCGAGTTATACAGGCAGTCTGAGAACTAGAAAAGGGAGTTTTGAAGAATATAATGAAAATCAAAGGGATATGATTGTCACATAAATGTTCTTTGTAATGAACGTATACAGTGTGTTTTGTAATTACTTTATAGATGATGGTAACAACTAAGCCTGTGCTCATTAATGTGAAGCATAGAGCGGCCCGTGCAGAGTTCAGAATTTTCAATCTTCCCTTCCCTTCTCCGTATATTAGTAATGCTTTGTCCCTTAGCTGTAGAAGGACACATAATTCACTGGATTGAAAGCAAAGCCTCATTTGGTGATGAATGTAGCCACCACGCCTACCTGCATGACCAGTTTTGGAGCTACTGGAATAGGTAAGGACCCATTATTTTTCTCTTAAGATAAACGATACTCAGCTGAAATCTCATTAGAAAAAAAATATTTTGTTTAGCTGGTAAAAATGCTAGTAGTCTGTGTTTGTAGTAAATACAGAGTTTTGATTAATGTATTTATTTCAGATCATTTAAACTTCTCCGTTTTCATAGTGTTGCTTCATTTTTTTAAAACTAAAAATCTCTGCATAAGGTCGAAATTAGTATATATTCCATTTTTCATTCATTTTACAATGATAATATTGGCGTCACTTAAAATATGGATAATAAGATGTGGTGTATATTACAGTATTGACACTGAACTTTTATCCTTTTGCTATGAAATTTATGCTTACTGTCAGACCTTAAAATAACTTATCCTTAGCTCTCTGAGGAAAGTATCCAAATGATGCGAAAGATGGAAATAGTATAGCTTCCAACAACAGAGAATAGTTTCCCTACCAACTTGTCTTAATGTTCCGGAAGACATGGAAATCTCAGCATTAAGAAAGGAGTGGGAGGGCCTGATTTTATTGATATCTACACATGCCTGGGAAGTTACTTTTGTCCGCATTTTACAGATAACCAAGCTTATGCTGTAGAGCTAGTTATCGTGGGTCTGCATTTCTCTCTCACTCCCAAATCTGTGTGATTTCCAACACAACCCTATTGTCATTTGCAATATCAAAATTGTCATTTGCAACCATCGAAACTTTGGATTTTTCTATTATTGCGGTCTCAAGTGTTCACACAACACATTGTTTTTCCCCCTTAGAACAGGAAGTGTGTCAGGTGGTAAACTTCCTAGATTATCTATGTTCCTTGACTGCTGGCCAACAGTAAGAATACGATAATAAAATGACATTGGCTCAGATCCTTAAGGAATGAGACAGTAGTGGCTGTGGGTAATAGTCTTGTCCTAGGGTAAAACCGGTGACCAGCTACAGAATTTGGCATTATATTGTGACTCAGCTTTACAAAAGGCCAGTGGACCTCGCCTGTGGCAGCTGTGCTAAGCTAAGCCCACTTTTTGCCATGGTAACAATGATCATGACAAAATGCTGAATGTAATGGCTTTCTTGATTTTCTTGTGTAATTGTGCGTGGCATCCAAGCTTTACTTTACAGGGATGGAGGAGGAAAGTGCAAAATGTTTTAGAAATCAATGCTGTTTCAGCGTTTCCTGTGTTTTATTCAGCCATTATTCAAATTAGCAGTAATGTGGCAAATTGAATTTTAGATGTTTAGCAATTTCATGATGGGTTTGAAATAGTAAAGAAAGCATCAATTTTGGTAGTATAGGGAAAGAAATGACAAGAAAATCAAATTGCGTAAGTTTAGGTTTCTAAAGGATTTAAAAAAACTGATAAACTCAGTCAGTAGGCAGGTAGACTATTTTCCCAGCTTTCGTACTGGTCATATCTTTTCTGAGGAACAGTTACAAATTGAATCCCAAATATGAGAGCTTACTTAAAAATTCCGCATAATTATCTTTATTCTAAAACAACTCAACTATTTATTGACTACCTACTGTGTACTTAACATTCACCATTTAGAGGCTGATTAAATAATCGAGTCACTGGATGACAAATTTAGGGATTATTGAAGTGCCTGGAGGATGTCTGTGTGATAGATAATTTAATACAATTTCTCTTTGGATTTTATATTACTTTGTTGCATTCTACTTTTTCCCTTCTGGTGATGTTTTACTTAGACTGCTATTGATTTACATTCCCTGAGCACAGTATTTGAATATATACTAGCTAAGTGAGCATAATTCATTTAGGGCATGATGTGTGATAAGGGAATGCCAGTCTTGGTTTTAAATGGTCGAGATCATTTAAGGAATAAATGTCAAAAAAGTCACTGATGTTACCAAATGTCTGCAGAGAGGCCAAGAAATGCAATTTCAAAAAGGAACATTTAGTGCCCAAGTTTAAAATGGAACTTTTACTTGTATATAATACAAGCTTATTGGTAATGGAGTATTTTGACAGAAGGAGAACTTACCCCATTTGTGAATGTATGGGATCTTCCTCGTCTCATATTTTGCCCAACACAACTCATACACTTTAACAATTGCTAAATTTCTTCAGCATATAACTTTAGCAGCTTCTGAAGTTCTTCAGAGTTGGAAGAAGTTCTCTCCCGACTCTAGGTAGTCTTTCCAGGAGGTTGTTGGTTAGAATTTTGGCTCTTTTCTTTATTCATGGGATAAACCTCTAGTTTGTATAAAAACTAATGTTACCTAATTGTCACACTATTTTCAGATTAAAGATTAGATTTTATAGTAAGAATGTTCAATTACTATTAAAGATTAGATTTTATGATAAGAGTATTCAATTACTATTTATAGACTAATGCTTTTGTATAAATCTGTTTCCCACACAAATAACTACAGAGCCATCAATTTTTAGGTTAACATTTCTACAAGTTTTCTTTTATGGTAAATTGATATCCTTACTCAGCTTAACTAATCTTGAAAATATTTAAATTTTGCAATGCAGTCATCTTCCCCAAAATCAGAGCTGTTGAGTAAGAATGTAAGCAGACTTTCTTATAAGCACATCCCCATCCCAAGTCCCACGTATGAACCGTGGTTAAACAACTCCTCAAAACTCTGTAGTCACTGCTTCTACAGTGTTAAAGGAGATAAAGAATGCATCTGAGAAGCACTTGGACCATAAATATATCCCCAAATTGTTTAAGGCTACCAGAAATACATTTCTTTATGAAATCAACACACAAAAAGCCTTCTCATCGTCTTTCTCTAATCAGAACGTGAGTTCTCTGACAATTTGGCCTCTATTACTAAGTATACTTTTATACTGAGATCATGACCAGTAAAGAATGAAACCAGTTCTATGAGTCTAAGGTCAGATTACATATATAGGCTCTAACATGTGGCCTTTCAAAGAGGCAGGGAGGACACCTTGGCCTTACTTTTGGTGGTTTGAGATAAAGTGGGTCAGTTTGAATGAAAATATTGAGTGATCTTAAATAACAGAGAAAGAACCATTTGCTATGAAGCACATGAACAGTGACCAACAACCACTGATCAAGAACATGGCAATTGCAACTACAAGTTTCAGCCCCTCCATCTGCCATTCCAGTCCCATTCTGGCATGCTCTCATTAGAGACATGTCTTTAAAACCAAAGTGCACTTTGTTAATATACGTCTCTGCTTCTTCCAAAGGAAATCTAAGCTTCTTGGCTGAAACAAATGGGGCAAAATTTGGTTTTTCAATTTAGTGAGCCTTGAAGTAATGGCAGGAATATTGGGTTTGAATTCAGTCTGCCACTGTCTGGTCCCATGACTGGGAGCAACTTACTTTGTTTTCTCCTCAATAAAATGGGCTGAATAAAACCTTTTTTTGCCCTATGACTCTGAAGGTCAGTTATTTAATACATGCAAAGCACTTTCACAGTGCCTGGCAGTCAAAAAAATATTAGTTCCCCTCTGTCTCTTTTTTGTATGTCACTGATGAAATTTAGAAGTCTTCCGATTAGACATGTTTAATTGCCTTCTTTGCTGCATAAACTATTCAGCAAATTTCAGCACTCAGCTGGGCTGACATCTCTTTGGGAAACCTTCCTGCATTCCAAGATGGGGCTTGATGTGCCTCCTGTGTTTTGCTAATAGTTTCATAACGTTTATCAAACATGGTCATTGCTTGTTTACTTGTCAATCTCCTCCAATTAATATTGAGTTCCATCTTATCTACTGGTTTTATCCATCTTTGATTGCCCAAAATCTGGCATATAGTAGGTGATAGTAGATATTTATTGAGTGTATTTACTGATGTCTGACAGACAATAATATTTTGAGTCAGCTGTTGAGGAATGTGTCAGGAATTGTGACATTAGCCATAGTATTTTCAATTTTTTTTTTCTTTGAGAATTCAACTCTAAGGATAGTGAGGAAAATGCCTAATTTTTCTGAAAAACTTTTATAGACTTTTCAAATGGATAGGCTTTTGCAGTCCTATTTCACAAAATAAATGTATTTAACATAAGGAATTTTAAAAATAGAAAATAACTGAGAACAAAATGACAAATGAATTTTATAAAGGTTTTTAGATAAATATTTATAATCTTATGTTGATTGGTTGCTTTCCCAAAACTTCAGACAGTTCTTTCATTTGAAACTTGACAAAGAATACCTTGAAAATTCTAAGCACAGGATAATCTCCAGTTTCTTTAAGGGATGCATGAAACTGGGCCTGGAGCAAGAGTACCAGTGGAGCGTTATATACTATGTGTCTAAATATGTAAAGTTTCATATTAAATTAACAGACATTAAATAAAATTTATTCTATTCTACATGAAGAGCTGAAAGTTCAGAATTCCTAGATTCCTTGGATTTCCAGGCTAAGTGTGTCAGTGCAGGGAAAGATGGTCACACTGCATACCCTGCCTTCCTTTTCTTCCCACCCTTAGCTCTGTCCTACACATGGAAAGGTGTCAAGCTCACCCCCAGCCTGCATATCCAAACTCCATGTACATTCCCATAAACTACTGCTTTCAGGCCAGAGTTGCACGCTCTGGTAGCCTGCCTTCTTTTTTAGGTGAATGACCTGAGAGAAATGGCCATACAGGGCCTGGGAGTGGTCTCAGGGCTATAATATCAGGAAGTTCTGAGGTCTGATACATGGAGTGTGGCCTTGAAGGTGGTTGAGGGAACAGGAATCAGGTGGGGATGTTCCCTTGGCCCCATAAACTCCTTACTCCATGGATTCAGAAATAACTAGACGAGGGCCAGAGCAGAGTTACCTAAAGCTTGGGGACAGGACATGAACCTCTCTTGACAGGGCCTAAAGGACAATATTAAAGGAAGCAAGTGGATGTATCTTTCAAAGCCATTTCTTGTCTTCTTGTTAGGATAGGAGGGGAGATGAGCACCAGAGGAAATACGGTCTTCATCACATTTATGTACCACAGAAAAGATTAAGAGCTGAGTTCTATCTGTCAGATTTTTGAACCTTTGGCTCCAGAGAGTCTAC